CTCTCAACTATTTCTCACTGAGCCTGACTCAGTTCTCCTATTCCCACTACAGGCCTTCTCCACTCATTTCATCATACTGAAATTAAATCCCTCTTTTTGACAATTCTGTCATTCTACAAAGATTTATCAAGAACCTCACTACAGTCTACTTTGTATTAGGTACTTGCACAAGTGTCAATCCTGGGCCAGCCTATGGTCCATCAGTTTAGCCTATGATCCATCAGTACATACTGTGTCACCAAATACTGAACACACAGACCCTTGGTAAGTAAGAGTTAAACTGAACAAATACAAGGAGGGAAGGACATGTCGCAGAATGACCTAGAAGGGCACAATTATACACAAAGTACTTTTGGTGCTTGATTTGGACCTAAGAATGGAATTCGAAGGGAAATAGCTAGGAAAGACTTCCCTTAATTCTGGAACTCAGGTGATCCAGAGGCTCCTAAACATGTCTTTACTTTGAAGCTAGGTTATAAGATCAAATCAAATTTTCTCAGCATGTTAACAAAAACAACTGCATAGGCTCAGGTCTCAGGATGTGATGCTTCTAAGTTTGGTTTGAAAAACAATTTTTTTCATATGATTTACCCAGCTGATAGTTTTAGAACTTCTTCTATCTCATTCTCCACAAGTATGCTATATCTCCAGTAGAACAAAAACTTCTGTCTCCTCCATACTGAGACCAAGCTAATCAGGTCATGCCTGTGCTACCCACTCACCCTCAACCAATCCCTCCTCCTTTCCAACTACTCACTGTACCTGATATCATGGGGCAAACAGGACTGATCCAGGTTATACTGAATCACAGCCAATTTACACAGAGTCTTCAGACTAGGGCCTTTAAAGGAGGAATGGGAAAGAGGGAGATGGTCAAAGCCAAGGAAAATGTCCAGTCCTGGATGTCACCACCCGCAAACAAGGACCTTGACGGCAGGAGCACTTTGGGAATAAGTGTACTTACTAAAGTCCAAAATGTGTAAGTCAGAATGATCTATGAGGTCAAATTCATCTCCCAGGCCTTCCTCAGGAGACGGACTATAGAGATCAAAAAACAGATGAAAAAAGGAGGAAAGACTACACATGAGACCTTCTTGTTCGAATGCCTCCCATATTAGTCACGGACTTAGGCCTTTCCCTGCCCCTCTCTCCTCCTAACCTGGTACCCCCAAAGAGGACAATCTTGTCACCGACAATACAGCAGCACTGGCGCCGACGGGGACATGGCCCCTTCCCCTTCGGTTCAATCTTTTTCCAGGTAAAGGAAGCTAAAGAGAAGTTTATGTGGAGATTCAGTACCTGCCCACTCCAGACGTCCTCAGCACCCCCAACCCCTCATCACCCACTCAGAATATTTTTTTTCCCCCTTCCCTCTCAATTCTCCTTGTTTCTCCCTTAAAGGCAGTGTTCTTTACCAGGGTTAAACTTCCACAGGTCGTGGAAGTGCCGGTTCAGCCTTGCATTATAGCCACCAAAGATGTACAGCTCCCCATTGTAGCCAACTGGAAAGAGAGAGGGACGTCAAGAGTGTGAGGGCAACAGGTGGAAGGGGGACTCCCCAGGGACATAACAGACACTCACAGGCTGAATGGCTCCGGCGCCCCTCGGGCAGCACCGGAGTGGGTGGACAGTCCAGCCAGGCCTCAGTCCTGGTGTCAAAGACTCGGATGCGGTTGCAGTAAATCTCATTGTTGGAATGGAATGGCCCAAAGCGGTCAGCGCGACCCCCAAAGACATACATGTGACTACCCAGCATTGTGGCTGAGTGGAAGTCCCTCCAGCGTGCAGGGTTGCCCTGGGCAGGAGCAGAGAGATGAGGGGGTGGGGGTCAGTGCAGAGGCTGGGAGGGGATCTGCTCTCACTGTTTGAGCTTCCTATGGTTTCTTCGATGGAGGGTGGGGTTCTGGGGGAAAGAAGAAAGGGCAGACCTTTGTACAGATAAGAGTCCATGTCATGGTGCTGGTATCCAGCTTGTGAATGTCATTGGAAAAGCAGTCCGCCTAAGTAGGAAGAGAAAGGAAGTGAAGTAAGGAATAAAAGAGGGAGTCAGCAGTCCCTCTCTGACCTTCCAACCCTCCCCTCGAAATCTGCAGACCAGCCAAAGGCTCCCATTCCACCATCCTCAATCCCCCTTCCTCTTTCTCACTCCCATCTACTTTCTTCCTTGACCTACCAGCTGCTCATAGCCTCCAAAAATGTACATGGTCTTGCCCAGGACACAAGCTGAATGTCCATCCCGGGCCCCAGGAACTGTTCCTGACACTCGGGGTGTGGACCACTTGTGAGTATCTGAAGGAGAGGAAAGGATAGGCTGGGTAAGCACCTCTGACACGCCCTCCTAGACTCTGGGGTGCCCTATTCCCAGCCCCTCGGCCCGTACCTTCCCAGCCCCGAGGCACCATTTGGAGTAACATGATCTCTCTGAAACTCATACTCACTGACGTCGAAGGCATAGAGCACATTGCAGGCCCCTTCTGTGTCATTCCGCCCTCCCCAAAGGAAGACTGTGTCATCGATGAGGACGGTTGAGTGTCCATATCGCATGTAGGGTACCACAGGAGCCTGCCCGCGGATGGCGGGTCTCACCGGGGGTAGCTTTGTCCAACGCAAGGACACTGTGGGCACAACTCTGCTCAACCCAGGAACCTCCCTTCAGTCTATACATCTTTTCTCAAACCAGATTTCATTCCCTCATCCCCTTTGGCCATGAGGACCACCCCAAAACTCATTCAGCCACCTGTTCCCCTCCTGATGTGGGTACCCAGGGATGGTCTCAGCATTTGCTTACCTGCATTGAAAATGTGCACATCAATCTGACGCAGTGTTTCATAGTCTTCACCAGAGCAGTAACCCCCGAAGGAGTATACCCGGTGCCCAACAGCCACTGCAGCATGGTTCACCCTGCGGGGCCCGCCCTCCAGGTGCACTGTCCACCGTAACATCCCCTGGGCCACTGGTTACAGCAACATGCCCCCCCGGCACGGCCTGCTGCCTCTGCTACCTGCACACAAGTTAGGGCCACAGGCTACTCAGACGAGTTCTTTGCCTGGCTCACCAGAACTCTGCCCAAGACCAGCCCTTGCCTCTAAGTGTCACCCTGGTGGCCCTCCCACACCACCCCTACGCAACTCAGGTGGCTGGCCCTTCCCAAGGGGAGCTGCCAAGGTCAGGGAGCTAGCCCTGGCCTTGTGTTCTCCAACAGCAAAGGGTGGGGCCACTCTGACCTAGTTGCCAGTTCAGAATCTGATCAAGGGCTCAGTATGGTCACCCCTACTCATGGAGGCTCCACTCTATCCCTGAGCTGGCACAAGCTCCAAGCTCCCTTCCTAGGTTGGTGCATTCTCTTGTATCTCTAGCTCTGCTCTGCTTACTGCCACCTCTCTAAGAATCTCTGTGCTCTTTAAGGTGGGGAGAGGGATCTCAAAATACTCAGAGCTATTAATAGCCCAGTCAGCCCCAGACAGTCCATTGAAAGCTGGCATGGGTGTTTCCCAGCAGAAAAGCTTCTAGGCTTTTAGACTGCCACAGTCTCTATATCCAAGACAGAGCGGGACTGATCCGGGACAGGGACCTCCATGTTACCGTGGAAGATTAGCCCCTCATAGGGAGCTCATAAGGAGCTCTTGTCAAGCTCAGCTGTTATCGCTGGGGTCACCCAGGGCCCCTCACAGGCATGAGGAGTTCCTTTGACAGCTGTGCCTGGTATGCTGCCAAGACCAGGAACTTAAGCCAGAAGGGTATCTCTCTCCTGGGGACTAAGAGGGTAGGGGTAGAAAGAAGTTGTTTTTTCCTCTTGCCACTTCCCCAACTCTGCTATTGTAATAGAAAACAAGCTGTTTCCAGCAGCCGTTCTCCCACTTTGGGCCCTGAAAGGGGAAAGGGGTGGGGGTGTGCATTGGAAAGGGGAAGGGAAGCAAAAATGCCCACGGGCAGGATGAGGAAAAGACACAGGCACAAGAGGTCATGATCTCTTAAAGACAACCTGCGGACCTAATGATAATGGGTATATCTGAAGGCACCTGCTGGATTTGGGTGAATCATCTGCTCCCTGTTCAAGGCAGAACTTCAGGCACAGGGAAAGCTCAAGTAAGGGAGGCCCCTTGCAAAAAAGAGACATGGCTTTCAGTTGGCTTGCCACCCCCCCCCCAACCTCCCTTAACCCCCACCCCAGGCTTTAAATAGCCATCCTGCCAAACCTGAAATAGCCCCAGCAAGAAACTACTCTCACTTTATTACTACTGTCCCAATCCAAAAAATCTTGGATCAGGGCTTGTGGGGATAAATAGGGAGGTTGAAGGGCTTAAGATTGGGAGTCCTTTCTCTTCTCACAGCTTCTACTTCCCCTTTAGCTACGTCAAAGTAAGAATTCACAGGGGAAGAGAGAAGCAATTTCATGCAAAGGTGGAGAATCTTTGCTTCTCCATAAGGACAACTCAAGCTCATGGAAAACAAGCCCCCAAGGTCTCAGGGGCTCTGTTATCTTGGGGTTTCCCAGATACTTGATCATTGCCACATTCTTAATTTCTTCAACTCCCTTTATGTGCCTACCCCTCTCCCTGGTCTATTGCAATGTTCACTCCCCATTTCTGGCCTTTGTGATCTAAGAGTTTTGCAGTTTTCGCCTTTTCCCACCACTCCAAGCTCCTCCTTGACAGCTCTCCATTTTCCCTCTTCCATTAAGGGGGGGAAAAAGCTAGTTATTCACTCCTTTCGACCAGAAACATTCCTCCCTGCATATGACGGTGTCTCTGGATTTTTCCGGTCATCCCAACCTCCCCTACCCCACAGTGCCAGATACAGACCCCTTCTATTATCCTCAACTTCTCCGTTCTCCCAATCCAATCTTCCTTCCAATTCTCTCAGTGCCTCCTCCAGCCACCATGTCTTTCCCACCCGCGTCCTTAGCATCTTCCCCCAGCCTTTCCTTCCCCATTAACACTCTCCTTTCCCATCATCCCCTTAGTTCCCTCCCCACCCCCACCTCAGCACTCTCAGGCCCCTCCCCCACGACTCCAGCTCAAGGCAAGGACGTCCCCAGCCCCTCCAATTTTCCTTTTCCCTCAACCCATCCCAGGCTACCTTGCCAGGCCGGGCCGGGGCGGGGCCACGGGTCCTCGCGCTGCCTACAGCCTAGAACCCGTTGCGCGCCAACCGACGACTCTGTCTCCAACGAGATAAACACAGTCAGGCTTGGTTCTTCCGGCGGGCAGCTGTGTGCGCACGTGCAGTCAAAGCTAAGTGCCGGAAGCCTACCGGGACTTGTAGTTCACGGGTTTCAGGAGGGAAGCAAGGGACAGAGGAGTGAGAAGGAGCCAAAAGAGATTCTACGCACGTGCAGATGTGTCAAGAAAAAAACGTTGGGGTCACTGGGTAACGTAGTCCTTTGTTGTCTGCGCAGGGGATCGCGGAGGCGGGACAAGGGGCGGACTCCTTGTTCTAGCTCGCGTCAATCATGAGCACGGGGCGGGGCTGGAGGACTAGGCACGCCAGCACGTCTTGCCCCACCGGAAGTGAAGGTGCGGGTTTGGCCGCGGGCTCTGAGCGGGTGAGGCTCGTGGAGACACCGGCGCCGACAATCGGTGGGGGCGGGTGGGGGACGCCGCATCTGGGGCCATTTGAGGCGAGCCCCTGGGGCCTGAAGGGCGTTTGTCAGGTGGTACAGAGGGCAACCCCATTGAGAGGGGAGAGGGGGAAGGGTGTCTAGGGGAGCTCGTTTGGTGATCCAGTTCCCAAGCCGGCAGGGGGTGCAGGGGGCGGGGTTCTGGAAGGGTTGTTTGGGGAGGTGGCATGACCCCTGGTTGGGCTGTTATTTAAGAAATGGCCGAGCAAGGCGGGCGGATCTCGGTTCGAGAGAAGAGCCGACATAAAAGGTGGAGGGCCAAGGAGAGGCTGGGATGGGATGGGGTGTGGTGCAGTGGGGTGGTATGGAGGAGGTTGGGGACGTTTAAATGTTTTGTGGACGCATGAGAGTACAAGGAGCTGGATGGGAGGCTGAATGTAGACCTGCTTCCTTGTTCTTGCAGCCCCTGCCCGGATGGCAACAGTAGTTCTGGGGGGAGACACCATGGGCCCTGAGCGTATCTTCCCCAATCAGACTGAGGAACTAGGGTCGCACCAAGGTCCTACAGAAGGCACTGGCGATTGGAGCAGTGAGGAACCTGAGGAAGAACAGGAGGAAACTGGGGCAGGCCCAGCTGGCTACTCCTACCAGCCCCTGAACCAAGATCCTGAACCAGAGGAGGTAGAGCTGGCACCAGTGGTGGATGGAGAAGATGTAGTTGCCGATATCCAGGATCGGATCCAGGTATGGTGGAGGGAGGCATTGTTCTGAGCCGGTGAACTTGGTTTCCTTGAAGGTTGGCCCTGAACTGCCTTCTCTCTGGTTCTGCAGGCCCTGGGGCTTCATTTGCCAGACCCACCATTGGAGAGTGAGGATGAAGATGAGGAGGGAGCTACAGCATTGAGCAACCACAGCTCCATTCCTATGGACCCAGGTAAAAGAAACCAATTTTTTATTCTAGAATAATTACAGAGGAAAGGGACTAGCTAGAGCCAATAGAGCAAAGGCACTCGTTCCAAAAACGAGTTTGTAATCTGATTTTGCAGACTTCAGAAATCCAGGTGAAGTGCTATTCTTCTAGACTTTGGGAATGGGCAGGCTTGCTTAGAAATAGCAGGTGAATTCGGTGACCTCCCTAGCCCAGTGGCTCTGGATTAATTTAAAGAATGGGAAGGGAAGTCGGTCCCATTGTTTCTATCCTCTAACTGGTCCCTGCCTGTGATTTCAGAACACGTAGAGCTGGTGAAAAGGACGATGGCTGGAGTGAGCCTACCTGCGCCAGGCGTTCCTGCCTGGGCTCGGGAGATATCAGATGCCCAGTGGGAAGACGTGGTACAGAAGGCCCTCCAAGCCCGGCAGGCATCCCCTGCCTGGAAATGACCTCCTTCAGGTCACTTGTTTCCCTGCATTTCAGACTGGAACCAGCACAGGACTGAACACATCCCTGGTTGTAATGTCCATCTCCATCCTCCCCACCTCCCTTTCACATCAAAGCAAATCAGACTCCTTTTCAGAGACCCACTTTATTCAGTTCTGTACACATGGGGACATCGGCCCAAGCCCAACCCACCTTAACATGTATCACCCTGGAGAATAAAGCACCCTATGTACACAGCCAAAAGCTGCACTGCCTGTGCCCCTGGAACCCAGGTCCGGTCCTCCTTAGCTCCTTGCCACTCTGTGGTGCCTAAAAGGGACAAGCAAGGGCCTGCCCAGCATTAGCACAAACAAGGGAATAAATAGGTGTTGGCAGGAGCCATGCTTGGGGCACTGCTCCCTGCTTATTTCCTCCTAGCTTTGGGATCCAACGGCATAGGAAAGTAGTCAGCCCCAGGTGGTCCCTTCTATGTCTGTGATCCCAGGGCTGCTGCTCACCAAAGAGCACAGGGTAGGGCGTTTATCCTCTTCTCTTGGTCCATCTGGGCCCTTTTTCACCTACTGTCCATAGCCTATGCGTTTCTCCATTTGACCTCCCCACATAGGCAAGCAGGGGGTAAGAGAAAATAATACAGCCCCCTCAGCCTGCACACTGCTAGGGCTGGGGGCCTCTTTGTGCTGTTAGAGGTTGGTGCCCCTCCAGCTACTGATTCCACGGGTCAGTGGGGCTTGACATAACTTTGGTGAGAATAACCTCTTGCTGCTCCCTGTGTGCCTCTGCAGGGAAAGGAGAGGAGAGACCCCTGGAGTTCAAATTAGGATAAAGAGGAGGGAGAGGAGCATATATGTATTCCTGTGTGTATTTCTCAGAGCAGCCTCAGGTAGCTGTGGGGTTAGGAGCAGGAGGGGGACAGGCATCCCCAGTTGTCTGAGTACTGAGAATCTCAGTGTTCAGCCTGTCTGTACTAGCCACAGGGAGGCATGAACACATTTTGGGGAGAAGAGGGACCACTCTGTGGGTGTCCCTGCTTCAAGTGCCGCATGACCCTCCCTAGAGTAGCTAGAGAGGCACTGCCTTGCCCCATGTCAGCCAGTGGGGAGCAGAGGGTGGAGGGCTAGGGCGGCGTCCCAGGGCTGAGTGGGGTGTGGCCCTGTGGAGGGAAAATTAGGGCGTCAGAGAGCCTCCTGGCTGGCAGTTAAGAACTCTTCTGCCCGCTTATGCGCCTCCAGTGCCTTAATGGTGTACACGTCCTGGGGCAGCTCTGACTTCCTCCGAAGCAGCACTTTCTCCTTCTTGATGTCCTTTAGCATCTGTGTGTGGATACAGAGAAGATGAGGAATGGTGACCAAATCCCAGTATATTCTATTATTTCCTTCCCTTATTCCTGGGCTCTGTCACTCCTGTCTCCTTTCCCTTTCAGAGCTGTCTTTATTTCTGCTCCCTCCTCCCTCTGGGCCCTGCCACCTGCACGGCCTCTGTCTCCACTGTCCTCTTCAGAAGCTGAATGTCCTCTGCTGTGGGGGTCTCTGTCTCCATCGAGTACACAGGAGGCAGTGGTGGCGGAGCTCGGAACATGGGATACTGAGAAGGAAAGGAGGCATGGATGAGTGGAGAGAGCCACTTCAGAAGTCTGAACCTGTTTGCCTCTATTCTTCCTCAAACCCTCAGCCCAAGATGGGCCCCCTCAGTTCAGGCAGTGGCAGAAAAACCTCACCTGGGGATTAAGTCGGGCCAGCTCCTCAATCTTTTGCCACATCTCTTCTCTTTCCTTCATTCGGAACCTGCCCCTGAGGGAGCAAAAACAAGATGGGGGCTGGGCTTGAGAGAAGCAAAGGGGGCTGGTGGTGGATGACCAAGTAGAGATACTCACTTCTGCTTCTCTGCTTTGTATTGTTGTGTGCAGTCATCAAACAGCTTCTGATTCATCTCCATAAACAACTTCAGAGCATTGTAGATCAGTCCATGGATTGTCCTGCCACCAGAAGAAAGATGAGGTGTAGGAGGCCAGAGCCTGCCCTTAGTACCAGGACCCCAACTTGCTCTTTCTTAGGGTGTATCTACTAAGAGCTTTCTCATTTACTGCTATTTCACAAGCCACTGTACAATATAAGCTCTTCTCTCTGACTAAATCATGTGACTTGAGATTGGCATGTCAGAATCTTTACAAATATTGATCTGCCGTCCATCCTTCCTCCCACCCCATGCTCCAAAACCTGTCTTCTTCCCACTACTTTCTACGCCCTAGCCCACACCATTGGGCTCCCAGCAGCATGATGTGCATCTGCATCACAGTGTACTTGCTTATAGCAGGAAAGCCTTTTCACAACACTGGGATTCAGCACATACTAAGATCACATTAACTTCTCACCGCATGGAATTTAGTCTCCAAAGCTACAGAATATCTGACCACAAGAAGAGGTGTAATATATAGGCCACTGCTCTGCTGTTGGGTATCACAGGGTCTCCCACATAGGTATCTTTTCTCTCCAGTCAGTCCCTCAAGATCCTATCAACAGGCAGTGGGCACCAGCCCCCCACTTGTGAGTAACCAGATGAGACCACTGGCTCTTAAGTTCTTGCGTACCCTCACGGGTTCCAGAACCAGAGCCCAACCGCACCCCAGACCCCTACTTGTTCCAGTGGCTCTTGGAGTTCCTGTAGAGTGCAGGGAACATGATGGGGAGGACTCGGGCAGCATTGTCACTTATCAGGCTCATGATGTACTCATTGTTCCAGTAATAGAGAGCACGCTCTGCCACCTGGTGGGGACAGACAAGACTGGGGATTCTACTTGCTTTGCTCAAGACTCCCCTCAGTGTCTGGGAGACAAGCTGGGTCTAGGTCTCACCTGGAAATGGGGGCTGGAGACACATTTGGCAAGCTGGCGGAAGAGTGGTTCCATCACTTTGCTGAACTCTGAAGGTTCAATGACATCTAGAATTTCCTCTAGCTCATTCAGGAACATCACCTCCTTGGGGCTGTGGGTCTTGGGCCAGAACTTGAGAAGTCCCACAATCACCTGTGAGACAAAGAGGATAGGGGTAAAATTCTCACATAATACCTGCCTGGTTCTCCAGGAAGCCTTCCTACCCTCCCCTGCCCCATCCACAGCTTGGGTGGCCTCAGCTAACTGCTCACATTTCTCTGGATCTATTTGTAGGTGTACACAGGTTTTACTTCAGAGAAGAAAAATCACCTGTTGGGCCACATCCCCCTAAGCAC